GGCCAGACGATGCCACTCTCTCCAGTCATCCATGAAACCTATCGTAGATCAACACTCGTGTTTCATCCGTGTCTTCTCAAGCTGGGTCAGACTTGGTCAGGTCACCGTCCCCACCTTCCATCGTGAGCAGCCAGTCACTTGAGGTTGACCCCACCAGGTCAGTCTCAGGCGGGACGGGGAATACCCGTTACCCCCGACAGACCGGCGGGCCCTGGGGTCGAGCGCTGCTCTCATAGGTCACAGGTCGCTCCGGGACACTCTCTGATATTGACATCGATGACGCGGCAGACGTTACCTCACTCCCGAGGCGGCTATATCTCCTGGCCAGACGGAGAAAGACGTAACCGGAGGCGAAATGTAAAACCGCCGGCCGACAGCAAAACATACAAAGTAGTCTATAAAGTACGCCAACAAAACATACAAAGTAGGCTAAGAATAACAAGCAATATGTCAAAGAGCTATAAGATAAAGCAGCATTACCGTCCACCCAGAGCCTTCGCCTCATCTTGCGTCAATGATATGACGTCCTTCACTTTTAACCTTTTATGTATGGCGTCATTGTACCGAGTTAGTAGATGAGCACGCTCAGGACCTGCACTCACTCCGGTATACGTAGACTCAGCTTTGCAAAGCGCAGGTCACACAGGTCTCTCCTGGAAGCGGACATTATTTCAAAGCGAAAGTTGAGCGTGCTCTCCCTGTTGAACGCACCCTGCGCCCTCAACTAACTTGGGCTGACCCCATTGCTTCACCTGGCCAAAGGCCATCTTCACTGGGACCCAACAACCGCCATCCGAGCGACGTTAACAAAGAGATGGTAGCAAGTTGTAGCTACGCAGTATGTGAGGAATAGCTTGATACAATTTCACTCACTGTACCATACGTAACTTGGGAGGAACAATCACGCCATACAAGGACGCATTTGTATGGCACAATCAATAGCCGCATTTGCTTCAACTGAACGGATTAAAGGCTAACGTCAATCAAACAAATGAAGGTAGTTTGCCACCAACCACTAACCAGTGTAGTTTATATCATTAATTTTTTATCACGATCATTCCACCTGTTACCGGGCGAAAAGCACGAAAATATGCAGGGTAGACAGGCTAAGGAGCCGAGCTGAACAATGAACCGCCATCGAGCAAAGCCCACTTTGAATCTCAGACCGAAACAGACGTCTTTCTGGCTGCGGCCGCGATTGGTGTGCAATATTTTCTGGAGGCGGTGACAGCGGAATCACGTCCTCTCACTCGGCGGGCCGCCGGCGGCCGAGCCGGACGTGATCGCTGCCTCTGACGTGGGTCCCCCGGGTGTGCCGGCGGCAGCCGAGCCAGACGGCCGCGGGGACCCGCGTGCTGGGCCCGGTAGGCGGTCGGTCGGCCGAGCGTCCCTGGACGGCAGTCAGCGGGAGCAGGTGGCCGCGCTGACCGGTCAGATGGAGGTCATCAGTCGTCCGGCACGTCCCGGCTAGATCGCGTATTGGCGCGTGATTCCTCCTCAAACAGCTCTGTCGGCCCGGTGATGATCGCTGGGACCGGGAGTCGACAACTAATCACCCCAGCGCGGCGGGTCGTCCAGCGACCCACGCACCTGCAGCGCAGCCTGAGCGGACCGGCCGGCGGCGTCCCCTCGCCCACCGGGGAGGGTCAGAGACCATCTGCAGCTGGGGCTGGTCCGAGGGGAGCAGTGGAAGGAGGGGACACACACACACACGTGGACGCCATACGGGGACGCATACGGGGGACGCCAGCAGTCATCTGGCCACCACACGGCTCTCAGCTAACACCTACGCCTCTAATGGATTGAGCGGCGCCCTCAGCGTCAGCTCACTGCCGTGAGGAAGACAGATCTCACCGGAGGTTCCCCTGAGCGCAAATCCCGCTCGGTACGGCACCGGCAGCAGCAGCAGGGTGCCGCACACCCTCGTCCTGTCTGGTGAGGGATGGCCCCTACGGTGCTGTCACCCGGCGGAGTGGGCGGATCCCCTGCCTTGTGTCTCTGCAGAGCGAATCGGCTCCCCGGTGTCTCCGTGGGCGGCTTCCGCTCACTCGCGTCGTCGCGAGGCGGTTCCCGCTCCCTCATGTTGTCGCAGGGCTCTCTCGTGTCTCCGTCGGGTGGACCGTTTCCTTTACGTCTCCGCGGGGCGGGGCGGCTCCGTCTTGTCGTCGCTCTGATTGCGAGGGTTCGGCCGTGTCCGTCCCGGGCGGCGGACGGCTCATCTGCTGCCGGTCTGCCGGCGGGCGGGGCCGGCCGGCAGCCGGTCGGCCATCCGTCACCGCGCTCAGACGTATGTCAGCTGCCGACCGTCCGTCCCCGCCGCCGGAAACCGACGCCACCGCCGGTCCCTCGCCCGGCCGTCCCCAGACACACAGCACAGCACAGCAGGCAGCCTCAGCCGGCGCCTCGCAATCCCTCCGAAATGACGAACTGAGCCGCCGCTGCCGCCGCCGAGTGCACACAAAGCCCCCGGGGGCCGGGTGCGTGCTTACGTCTCAGGAGGCGTGGCGTGTGTTCCACGTACGACTTCAATGCCTTAGTTGACCTTTCCCTGAGCTGTTTAATTAACCATTCTTTTTCATCAAATTTACGGTGCCATATGGATTCCCAGTCAGCAAAGTCATTGGCTGACAGGTGCGCGGTCTAATGTTCTTAGCTGGTGCCCGGGACCGTAACGACCAGGCCAGCCGAGCGTGTCCGATCGTCGCCGCAGCTCTGATTTCCTCCACGGGCCGGCCTCGCGCGCCGGGGTGGTCGCACGGCGCCGGAAGCGTCCTACCTGGCGTTTCACCGGAAAGGCGCGATCGGCGGCCGCGCTCCGGCGAGCAGCGCTGAGCGTAATGGCTCCGGCGAGCGGCCGCGGCGGCAGTCACTCTCAGCACTGAACCGCTGCCGACCGAGAAACTGCCGCGCCGGCCGGCGCGGCGGTCGGCCCGGAACGGGCGCACTGCGGAAACCCCGCCGGGCCTTGAATAAATTCGGCCCGAGCACGAGCTCCCGAGAATAGAATCGTCGGCCGAGTGTGGTGCCGCGACTTCTATGGACTCACTTCCTGCAGGCGTACTCTGACTGATCGTCACCTGGCCGAAGCCGAAAAGGAAACGATATGCAGAGCTCATTCGGACGCCGACGGAAGTGAAAGTCTCTCAGAACCAACTTCGCTTCGTTTCGTTTTGCTGAATTGTCCATCCCAACAAATCTACGCCAAACTTCTTACGAGAAATTTGCATTTAAATACAAACTTCTGCATACTGAGCTTTATTCTGATTCTAGCAACTACCGTCGCGTATAAGGACGGCGGCAGTCGCTGGCTGACGTCCGCCACTCTCGGCGTGAACAGGGCTTTACGGCTCCACTATCGCGGCTCGGAGGTCAGTCAATAGTCCACTCCAGCGTATCCCGCTGGGAGCTGGCCCGGCGCGGCGGTCAGCCGGCCGGCCGGGTCGTTCGGTCCGCGGCCGCGCGGGCTCCTCCGCCGTCCCGGCCGCCTGATGACGGCATACATAGGCAGATATCTGTTCACAGCGACGTTCATCAGTCGTGAATAATGCAGCGACCGTCCCTCCTTGGCACGACGATCGGGGGCGCAGCTGGGCCGGCGCCGGCCCGTCCTCCCTCCGGCTGCCCGCGCGGTGCCAATTCTCGGTACAACTCCGCGTGGACAAACGAGAGCACGGGCGACAGGACCGACCAAAGTTCTCATCGACTGCTGAAAGAGCAGTCTCAACAGAGCATCGACTAACTTCGACTAACCCGGCTAACTGGCCGGCCGACTCCTTTGTAGCTGACAAACGATAACTGTTTCCCGCAGGCTTTTCCCAGCAGCGGCGAGTTTAAACAGAGCCGTTTCCTGCCAGTCGCCCGGAAGAGTCAGCAGTCGGACGGTGAGCTGGACCCCGTTCTGGGGCGACCCGTCTCTGTCAGCAGAGGCAGGAACCCCACTCTCCGAGCCGAGCCGAGCCGAGCCAGGCAAACAGCTCCCTTCGCTCTCGGACGTGAAGCGCTCGAGCGGCAAAACACAATGAAAGGCCTCCGAAAATCTGATACGGCAGCGAATCGGACCGACCGGGCGCGCCCGGGGACCTCTGAGAATAACAGAACAGGGGGCCAGGTGGCCAAGAGAGCGCATTGAGTGACCGAACGATAGCCAAGACTCGGCGCCACCGTAACAGGGTGGGGAGAGGAGAATGCGGGGATAGAGGAACAGAGACTTCAAAGCCAATCTGGAGCCGGAATTCTCCACTCGACTGGACGCCGGATCTGTCCGCCTCGCTCGCCGCCTCGGGGCACATGTTTGACAGGTGACGTTGGTCGTTTACACGGATCTATATTCAGCGCCACGGGCTGTGGGCTGCGGAGCAGGGCGGGAGTACGTCACCGCGCCGGCCACGCCGCCGTCGGCACGACATTCTCGGCGGTGCCAGCACGCCGGCACTTAAGCCGATTTCAGGCCGGGGTGGTTCAGACGGGGCGGGCACCGGGCCTCACGAGCGAACCCCGCTGCACCGGTTGCATCGCAGACACCGCTGGGGGCTCGGCGGACCGGACCGGTGACCCCACCGACTCCATCGACTGACCGTCTGACGTCCGCGCGCCGTGCGTCGGCCTGGTTCGGCGCGGCGCCGGCACGCGGTCCATGTTGACAGGTGTGGCGGCCAGCCCGGGCCGTCATCCGTCCGGCACCGGCCGCCGATCCGCGGTCGCACCTGGCGCCGCCGGACGTCGCGAGTTGCGGTCAGTGGCCGCGCGCGCCGCGCCAGCCTCGCTGGGGCTCGGGCCGGCCGCCGCGCTGTCTCCACGGCAGGGCATTTAAATCGGCCCCGAGCGGGCGGACCGGCCCGCCGCCAGCCCGCCGCCGCCGCCGCCGCCATCGCGCAGGCGCACTCGTATGTGAACTGGGAGTGGCGGCGGCGGGCGGCGGGCGACGGGCGGCGGGCGGCGCGGCGGCGGCGGCGGCGGAGGTAAGGCACGCCACCGACGCCACCGCGGTACCAGTCGCGCCGCGGGGACGGAGAGAGTCGGAGCGTTCCGCGTCGGGTGTGTTGTGCGCGCTGTTACAGCGACTCTGGATATCACTTCGCCTTGCGGTGGTGTTAGACATTGTGAATAACTCTGAGTGAGCTGAGAGAACGCAATTTGAGCCTGTGCTCGCGGACGGCCCGCGCGGTGGAGCTCTTTGTGACGCGGCTGCGGGCTTCGGGGAGCGGCCAGCGTCGCGAGGCCACGGCGGACAGAGAATCACCGGTGAAAGCGGGCCTGGACTGCCCCCACAAAGGCGCTCCGCTCGCGCTCCGGCGTGTGAGACCGTTCCCAGCGCGAGAATTTCTGCTCGGCTGGCCGAGCGAACAACAGTGAGAGCACTCCGTGCCGGCGGGGAGCGCCGGCTGGGCGGCGCGGCGTCACCGGCCGCCGCTCTCCAGGTACCGTTGGCCGTCCGAGCGGCGGTCGTGAGTAGGAAGGAAGGCGGCGCCTGCGGGTCGGGCGGAACCGGCGCCTTGCCCGAGGCGTCCCAGAGACCGGCGGACGCGGCAGGCGGCGCGATGCGGTGGCGGCGAGCGATGGCCGCCGTGCCGGTGCTGCTGCTGCTGCTCATGCCGGCCGTTCAGGGCGAGGGCAAATGTCCGGAGGGCTGCCAGTGCATCTGGAAGTACGGCCGACAGGCGGTGGAGTGTCAGAACGCCCAACTGCAGGCAGTGCCGGACGGACTGGACGTGGGCACTCAGGTGCTGGACCTGTCCGGGAACGAGCTGCGGGAGCTGCCGGCCGAGGTGTTCCGACGCGCCGGCCTGGTGAACCTGCAGCGCGTCTACCTGGCCAACTGCCGGCTGGGACGCGTCGCCGACACCGCGCTGGCCGGCCTCACTAACCTGATCGACCTTGACCTCTCCGGAAACAAGCTGACCTCCGTGCCGCAGGCGGCGCTGCGCAGCGTGCCCGCCCTGCGCGAGCTCAAGCTGGCTAACAACCCCATCCAGCGGGTGACTGCTGACGCGTTCGCCGCCGTGCCGGGTCTTGTGAAGCTGGACCTGAGCGACTGCCAAATCCTGGAGGTGGAGACGCCGGCGTTCGACGCTCTCAACATCCTCGAGATCCTCAAGATAAGCGGTAACCGTCTTCGTGAGCTCGCTGAGCCAACTGTGATGGCTCTGCGCAGTCTGCACAACGTCGAGCTGCACGCCAATCCATGGGAGTGCGACTGCCGGCTGCGACCGATGCGCGACTGGCTTCACCGTCAGAACGTGCCGTACCCGATCGCACCGACGTGCCACGGGCCGCCGCGGCTGGCCGGCCGCACGTTCGAGCAGCTGCGTCCCGAGGAGTTCGCGTGCCGTCCGCAGCTGCTGCCCATGGTGCGCCAGCTGGCCGTCACCGCGCGTCAAAACGTCACCCTGACGTGCCGCATCAGCGCCGAGCCGGCGGCCAGCGTCAGCTGGTTCTGGCGGGGCCAGCAGCTGGACAACAGCACCATACTGCCGGGCGGGCGGCGGCCGCGGGTCGTCCAACAGGGCGGCGCCGAGCGCGTCAGCCGCCTCATCATCCCGGCGGTCAGCGCCGGAGACGCTGACGGCGAGTTCGTCTGCGTGGGCGCCAACCGAGCCGGCGACGCCGAGACGAGCTTCACGCTGTCGGTGGGCGAGCCGGAGCCGGTGGTGCAGCCGTCCGACGCCGGCATGGTGGCCGGCCTGGTGGTGGGCCTGCTGCTGCTCCTGCTGGTGATTGCCGTCTGCGCCATCCTGCTGGTGCGCCGCCTGCGCCGCCGTCAGGACCAGGAGGCCAAGAGCAAGCCGCCGCCGCCGTCCGGGCTCGGGAGTGTTGTCACCGTGGAGACGGCGCCTGACGACGATGTGAACCCGGTGCAGAAGCCGCCGCGGCTCACGGAGCTCGGCTACGGCTCGCCGGCGGTGTACGTCCGCTCGGCGCCCGACCTCATCAACGAAATCGACGGACGTCGGCCCGCCGAGTACGGCAGCCTGGCCGGCTACGGAGCCACGCCCGCCTACGGCACCGCGCCCGTGTACGGCGGTACGCCCGTGTACGGCACGACTTCAGCCTACGGCGGCACGCCCCTGTACGGCAGCAGCACGCCGTACGGCCCGGCGCCGGGCGGTGAGGGCAGTACGGCCGGCTACGGCGCCACGCCCGTGTACACCGGCGGCGGCCACGTCAACCACCTGGCCGACGAGAGCTACGAGTTGCAGCAGCTCGGCTCGCCAGCGGGCTCCGAGCTGGGCCGCTCGGCCGACCCGGCCGTCTACGGCTACCCGGCCGACTTCGGCCTGCCGATGCCGGAGCTGGGCAGCCCGCAGCCGGCGGTGGCCGACGGCCTGCGCCCCCTCTCCACCTCCTCGGCAGAGTTCGACCTGAGCACCTCGCGGGACAGCGTCGGCTCGGCGGGCCGGCGCCGCTGGCAGGGCGGCGGTCCGGCAGACAGGGTCGGCCAGCCGGCGGGCACCGATGTCTGAGGCGGGCCCGGCGGAGAGCCAGCGCGGCCGGCGAGCGGCGCGCGGGTCACAACAAAACGGTCCGCGCGCCGCCTCCAGTGTCGCAATAAGCCAAAGTGACGTGACAGAGCAGCAGCGGCGGCCGCAGATCGGACTGGCCAGTAGCGCGGCCGGCCAGAGACGCGCCTGTTCGCGGCAGCAGCTGCTGTGTTTGCTGGTGTGAGTGACGTGCGCGCGAGTGTGGTAACTGGCAGTGAACTGACCGAGCGATCAGCGTGTCCGCCGCGTCAAGGACAACTGCGGCACGCCCCGCCCCGTCAGTCGGTGTCACTCAGTGTCAGAGTCTGTTACGAACCGTTACGGACGTTTGAGGTGGTAGTGTATCAACAAGCCAGGAGAGACAGACCGTTGTCGCGCGTCGCTGAGTGATGTCGGCGCGTCCTGTGCGGCTGACGACCGGCGGTCGCGGGTCGCAGGGTCGGCCGGTCGGGGCCGCCGATCGTGATTCGCAGCACGTCGGCGCGCTCTGGCCGACCGACCCGGTGAGCCAGGCGCCGCTGGCGCGCTGATTCAATGTGGTGTCGTCGTGTCCTCGGCTAGCGGAGAGCGAGCCGGCAGCGCGCCCGCCGCCCCTCCTAGTATTGGTATATCTAGTCAGACGGACACCGTCGGAGCGCATCTCTCTAACTATATTGTGTTACGCGGTCGACTGTCGCAATCACAGCATATTTTAAATAAAGAGCCTCTTTGTATATATAAACGCCTCACGTTCGGCCCGAGTTTTTAGTCCGACAGGGACGCAGATGGGTGTCTGCCGATAATGTCGTCATCTGCTATAACACGTTCAATATTTAATGACCAACGATAAGCATTTAATGTCTGGTGATAAAACTCTGATACGACGCTGCCGCCGCGGCAGCGAACAGCCCGAGGAGAAAGATAGATCCACTCCGGGCGAGAGACGGGTGTATTTCAGGAGAGGAATAGATCCACTCCCGATGGAGAAAGATCCATCCAAGGTGGGCAAAAGATCCAATCGCGCTGGCAGGAGATGCATTCCCTTCTGAGGCGACGGTCAGGGAAGCTCGGCTGACACCAACAGGTTCCATCAACTCACCACAACCCAAACCGATATCGACAAACGGAAAGCAGCTTATTCCGGCCGTCTGCCGTCAACAGAAGCCGTTGACGGCTGTTTGCCGCCAGCCACTGTCAATGATTCAGCTGTCTGAGTGCATCCATGCGCGGTCTGGAGCCAATCAGAGCCTATTCTCAGACTAACGAGCAGCGCTATCAGTTCGGCCGGTGATTCCGGGAGGCGGCTGGCCGGCGGCGCCCAGTCTCCGGAGGTTCGTGTCGAGCACCGGGCCGGGCCGACACAAATACTCACCGAGTCGACAGGGCGCGCCGAAAACAGGCCGGCCCACACCCACTCGGGGCAGAGAGCCGCGTGTCCGACAAACAGCCGGCCGCCCCGGGGACGGCTCACCGGGCGGCGGAGCTGATTTCAGAGAGCCGCGCGCTCACCGAGCGGCGCTGCTGATTTCGGAGAGCTCGGAGGTCGGGAGGCAGCGGTCAGAGCCCAGCGGTCAGTGGCCAAAGCCCAGCGGTCAGTGGTCAGCGGTGAGCGGTTACAGGTCGAACGGTCAGCAGTAGGCAGTCCGCGGTCACTGGAGCTCAAACACCAAACGGTCAGCTACCAACCCCTGCAGAGGTCAGCGGTCAGCGGTCAGCGGTCAGCACTGGCCCCGTCGGCGGCTCGACGCGGCCTACCGTGCACGGTGGACGCCACACTGACGGCTGATGGCCGGCAATTTACTAATTAACTCGGAAATATTATATGAGTGCCGGCGCCGGCCGCTGGCCCCCAGGCGTAAAGACACGCCGCCGGTCAGGCCGGCAATCAGGGGAACAAAGCGGCCGGGCGTCGATAAGTTACTGTTGTCACACGGCCGGCACGGGGAGTCCCGTGCACGCCACCGTGCCGGCACAACCCGCACAACAGACGCCTCGAGAATGGGGAAACTTTCACCGGCTAAACAGAATGCTAAGCTCTGCAGTGGCCAGCTTTCATTCAAATGTTAGTAGCTTCCGTGAAAGAGACTGGATTCGTTCAAATCCAGTGGCACCACCAACGGTCAGCGCTCCTTTTCGGGCGGCCGGTCCGCTCGTCAGGCAGACTCGAGTTGTCGGACTGTCGGAGCTGGCGGGCAGCATGACACGACCGGCCATTGCCTATGCAGAGACCGTGGCGGCGGTCGCGCCGGGAAAACTCTGAACGCGTCGGGCCGACCGCGTATCACAGCCATCGGCCGGGCGGCAGCGGCGGCGAGCGGCCGACTTTCCTCGCTCGATCGAGGTCACGAAGGAAGTGTGCCGCTCGACCGGCCGGCAGCGCGGCGGCCCGGCCGGTCCAGCCAGGTGAGCTGATCGGCGAGCCCCGGCTCACAGAGAGTCAGCTGCGGCCGAGCTGAGAGCTGGGAGAGTCGTGGCCGGGAGAGTCGGGGCCGGGAGAGCCGGGGCCGGGAAAGTCCCAGAGAGTCGTGAGGCAGAGCGGCGGGTGCTGGCCGCCCAGTCACCTGCCGCTGGGACGGCGCCGCGCCGCGAGCCGCCAGGACGTGCCTCGGACGCCGGTCGGCAGGGGAGAGCGGCTGCAGGCGGCGCCGGGAGCACCGGTCGGTCGGCACGGCAGGCGGCGGCCGCCGGCGGGTCAGTCTGCAGGATTGCTGGGGAGGCGGGTCGGTCCACCCGGCTGGCTCGGCGCGTCCGAGTTCCGACTGAGCCAGGAACCGAACCAGTCTGACGGGTCCGACCCTAATCGCCCGACAAACCGCACGGCAAAAATGCCAAAACGGATCAGAAATGGCATACCAGCTGGCGAGGAGAAAGGAAATATTGTATTTAGATGCTAAAACTAACATTTGACATCGAATAAGACGTCAGGAGCAGACACTCATGGTCGTTTCTCGTTCCTGAGCAAACGGCCTTAAACCATGGCACGGGCGCCGGAGTCGAGAATCCCCAGGAGCATGCTCCGGCGGCCCACGCTACCATCGCGTACAATTTATACCGGCCATTGCTGAGTATATGGTCGGAGAAGTGGTGCCGGCTTTAATCCGGGCGGTTGCGCTGGCGGCGGCGGGGCAGCGGTGCAGTGGAGCTGAGACGCAGTACCCGACCCGAGGCGCCGCGCGCTCACCGCGGCTGCCCGCGGATCACGCGGCCCGCCGCCAGCGCCATCTGCATACATCGGCGGCTCGCGGCCCGGCCTGCTCAGCCGAAACGTAAGGCCGGCCGAGTCAGGGGCGGGCCAGCCGCCTGGATGTGTCGACAGTCCGGGCATTCCACTGGTATATAGGCCCGGCGGCGACACAAACTGCACACGCCGCCCACGGAAATGGACCGGGCGGCCGGCCGGCGCGGTAACAACAAATGGCTCGCTTCCATGCGGCCCAGTCATTCCGGACGGCGGCCGCCTCGGCGCGGCGCTTACCTGCGAAACGAGCCGCACTAAATCAATCGGCCGAAACCGCCGCCGTCGTCCACTAACAAGGTTCGCAATCGGCGGATCAGCGGCCGGCTCAGGGGCGGCCGGCCCTCACCTGGGGCCAAGGAGAGACACGGGGTCGGGTCACCGGAGAGGGGTGGAGAACGACCGGCCGGGTGAACCCCGAACACAGCGGGGCAGGCTGACCAGTGACCACAGTGCGCCCCGCACTCCACGGGATCAGCACGGGATAACCACTGTCGGGCAGAAAATCTGGGGCTAATTCAGGATAATCAATAAACGACCGTTCCTGCTGTCCCGACTGCTGGCCACTGAACTCCAAATGCTGTCCAGTCGCCGACAAGCGCTAATGCTAATCAGCCAGCAGTACCACAGAGCAATCGGGAAGCAGGGGCAGACAGCTCTGACACGCTGCCGGCATCAAGTGACCGAGCCAATCCGCCAGGGACGATGGCGTGTCGGCCGGCGCCGTTCGCGTGTTAGCCCACCTCCCGTCGACTCCCCAGTTACCATCGACCCCCTAAATATACCGGCGCCCACCGAACGGCCGGCACAGTGGCACCGACCGCTCAGTGCTCACTCGTGTGCGACAATGTCACACCGGCAGGATCGTTTGGGGCACTTGAACGCCTCCTGCGATTCTTAACCAACCGAGACATTTATCAACGGCCGGCTGAGCCAGAAATGCCAGCGCTTGGTATCCCACGCGCCTGAGAAATGCCAGCACGGCGACCGTTCAACAACAGAAATAGTCGCACACGTCTTTACCGCGGAATGAACCAATCAGCCACGTTCTGGTGATCAATCAGTGATCCGCCCACCAAGTGTTGTCGTGAGAGACGGTTCAACGCTCACGACAGCCTGAAACATCTTTCCTGCACAATGCACATTCAACGGGGCTGAGTATGTCGTGGGTTCCTTTAGCTGTTGAAGGCAGAAAATCCTCAGAAGTCTCCTCTCCCGAGTAGAAGCCCGCACCGCTCGGGGGCGTCTCCCTCCCCTCCCTTTCCCTCAGCCGTGTCAGGTGGTCGGACCGCGGTAATTACGCTAATACGGCGCCGCGCTGCCTCCCAGGGGATCTGACGGAAATGTGGTGGGCATTTTAATCGACTGATCATCGTCGCCAGTCAGCCTGGGAAGTGGCCGGGCATTGTTCAGAGCCGGTGCAGGCTCAGAGAACGACCGCGCCCGCAGGACAATGGCTGGCCGCAGCCGGCCAAAGCTCGCCTCACTCGCCTCCACCGCCGTCCTGCTCCGCAGGCGACCGGCTCCGGACCGGCTCCGGACCGGCTCCGGGGCGGCTCCGGGCCGGGGGAGCAGCCGCCGGCGAGAGACGCCGCACGCCGCCGCTGCAGAGCAATCATGCAGGGCTTCGCTGCATTGAGGGTCGATGATAAACCGCCTGGCCGGCCGGTTACGGCGAGGGGCCGGCCGCGCCGCTCGCCGCAGCGGCCGTGCGAGCGCTGCACGTAATGACCTGCGGCCGGACGGCGCCGCTTCCGGCCGGCGACAGCAATTAGTGGGCCCTTTCGGCGGCGGCGCGGGAAAATCGCACAGATCACCGGCGGCCGGCGCAGCGCTCCCTGAGGCCAGGAGCGGCGCCGGCGGCCGAGCCGGGCTGACGGGGCCGCCCACACGGAGCGCCGCGCGGCTGCCGTCGGGCCGCCGCTCGACGTGCCGGCGCGTCCCCCGCCGTCAGGAAGCGGCGCTCGGCAGCTCGCTAATGAGAGTGGACGGGAGCACGGGCGGCGGCTCCGGCGGTGCGCCGCCGCCCGAGCCACCGGCGGCCTCCATCAGCAACTTATAGTCGGGACGTGAGTGGACTGGGGCTGCCGGGGCCGCCGCCGCCGCCGCCGGCGTCAGGTGCGACAAACGGCCCCGGCGCCCGTCACAGGAGCGGCGCGCGGCACACAGCCGGGGCCGGCGACAACAGCAACAACTGACGGCCCTGACAGCAAATAAAGACAGCACCAGACAGCCCGGAACAGCAGACACGGCAGCGGCCAACAACGGGAACAGATTAAAAACATTAGGCCCACGGCCGACAGCACCAGACGCCAGTACACGCGGCAGACACGCTACGTTTGCGGTTAGCCACGCAGAACAGTTTCTGGCGGCTGTAGCTCTCTCTCGTCTCAGCAGTCAGCGGCAGAGCGTCGGCAGCTGCGGCCGCCGTGTCCCGTCATTATTCGACCGTCGACGGCGCAGTTAACTCAGTCTCAGGCTCAGCTCCGCCACTTTGGGCC